CGCTCTTTCAGAAGAGTATGGTGCCTCGTCAGGCAACAAAGTGAGATCCTGGTTGGCACAGAACATTACACGGCGAAGGAGTACATTATGAATGGGACCAAAGAACCACGATACCCTCCCCAAGTTCCAACGGTACCATCCACGAAGCACATATACCGAGTAACAGCGAGAAGCAGAACGTACCTGTCGACACTCCATCCTGTACGCAGATCATGTCGGAGAGGCTCGGCCCGTCCAACGGGTGTGTCATCGCGCTGCCCACTTCTTCAGGGCCACAGAGCCAGTCAGTGCGATCGTAAAAGTGTATGTGGTTCAGTAGTGTAGCCCCTGGCCCAGGTAGTTACCAGTGTCACGACCTGGAAAGTGCGGTTTATGGATTGCGACTAGTTTCTAGATAACATTGACAGCAACAGCGCTGTTAATCTGTTCCCGCTATTCCAGTGGTGCTAATAGCAAGGCATTTGAGATGTTCTTTAGCGGTTGTACTCGATTCCGTGACACCCTCAGACCCTGAGCCTTGTGTGCTAGACCAGCAGCTGGCTGACCGTTCCATTTGCACCACTACATTACATAAACGATAGCCTTGTGCTCCTAATAGTAATATGATTCACGAAAACTAGTCTTGAAAACTTGATTGGAATCCCTAATCAGACCATGTCAACCTCTCCCTTGAGCTCTTTTCTGACGATCTTTGTTCTATTGCAAGAAATTCTAAAAGCTTCTGATATTGATGTTAGTAAAAACTCTAATCGTCATCAAGAAAAGAAACAAACCTTCCACTGCTTATCTTCTAGTTCCTGTGTTGTCGACTCCAAGGGCGACAAAGACTTCTGAACTAGGCTTAACTTGTTCTCCTGGATCCCTTGTACGTACTATCTCATTCGTTTAAGCACGCTCGCACAAACCAGAACAGAATCGTTTTCATAATGTACTTACAACTTCAATTGAGTCCTTGACAATGTATTTGTATACTGTGACGTCCCGCTGCTGTCCAATCCGATGAACACGATCCATAGCCTGGGCTTCTGCCATAGGATTCCAATGGGGCTCTATAATGTGAACAGTATTGGCAGCGGTGAGATCGATGCTGAGTTTTCGTGAGCCATTTGTAAAATGACGCTAACATAGGAGAACTTGGTGGCTCACCCTTCGCCAGCACCCCCTATGCTCGCCAACATGATGTTATGCGTTGAGTCAGTATTAAATTTCTCTATCGCTTTTCTCCTCTGTGGAAGGGTCGATTGCCCGTCGATCCGACAGAAATTCAATTCATGGTCATTGAGAGCAATCTCAATAAGGTCCAGCATTTTGGTCCAGTAGCTAAAAATCACGCTGCACCAAGGTTAGCGATCGTGTGAAGATAGCGGAAACGGTCAAATTTTGTCCACCTTTTCGGTGGGGTTTTCTCAGCCATGGACTCTGCGTTGGATTGGTTTTTGGCCAAGTTCTTAAGCAGAGCTTGAACCTTGGCAGATGGGCGGTGTCGTTGTGTGGGACTGAACCCAACCTCTGTCTCGGCTGCAGACATTTCTATGTCTCGATCAGAAGACCTCTGACATCTTGGGCAAGAAACAGTGTCTTCTGAAGCCTGCGCTTCCGGAAAACATCTATAGCAGATGGGATGCCCGCAGGCAAGTTCTCCAGCCATTTGTTCGCCAGGTTCTTGGTCGTCGATTCCACGACCACAAGAAGAACATCGCTTCAAAGCAGATTCTAGCGATTCCCAAGTAATGAAGCTGGTATTCTGGCTCTTCCACGCCTTTTGAGCGGTCTTGGTGAGAAGATCCTCCCCATGGTTACAAATCAACCGTAGAAGACCAATGAGAAGTAGAACATTGGCACTGCTTCTAGACGTCTTGACCTGCCTACCCTCTTTGGAGTTGGGGGCCTTCTTGTTGGGGATTGCGAGTAGATACATGCGTCGCCTGAAAAAGTTGTAGACTTTTCTCTCTTCAGCATTCATCTCGACCGATTCGACCTGCACAAACTTGCTTCGCAAGTCGAGTGTGGAGGCATGATTAGCTTTTGTCCTCCTCAGACAGGTCGCAGCGACAAGTTTCCTGAGCATCGGCAGGCTGTGTGGCTTCTTCGATTTGACTGGCCACGTGATCAATCTTTCGAAGTCATGCTTCGTAGAGAGCTGAGGTACGCGAATGAAGGATAACAGTGCACCGTAGTCGTCGAGGCTGTTTTGTATGGGTGTTCCGGTAAGACACCAGCGATATTTAGCTCGAACTTTACACAAAGCAGTAAACAGCTTAGATGCTCGGTTCCGGATCTTATGCGCTACCCAGAACATAGTCACGTTAATGGTGAGAAGAATAGAGAATGGGATCGAAAACGAGACTAGCCATACCTTCGTCGAGTATCAACCTCAACCACTTTCGCTTAAATAACGGCCCTTCTCCGTCCGATTCAGATCGCAAGGTTTCGTATGTTGTTAGAACAATATCATAGTTTTCGATACTGTTTGCCAAATATTGACGCTTTGGACCATGATACGGAAGATGTTTGGCGTCAATATGACTATCCATAGTGAGTAAGACTAAGTAAACATTTTTCAATGCGTTCGAAAACTCACGTTTTGATCTGTCTCTCCCATTCATATATGGCTATAGCCCCTTCGTCAGCTTCTTGTCTCCGAAGATATGTCGATAGTATAGAGTGTGCTTTACTTGACTTTGGTGTTACCACGAGAGTGATTCTTGGTTCATGTTGTGTGTTCGCCGTGGTGTTCGTGATCAGGTCAAGGGAATGGCAAATCAAGGAGAGGCTTGAAAGAGTTTTTCCTAAGCCCATTTCCTTATTATTTATTAGATCAGCGTTTCCTTGATGTAAGATCAACTCACATCAGCAAGTACACCGCCACCTAGACAGGATGGCGGCTCGATCTCGTATTTCTTCGTCACGACGTGCTGATACCTGTAAACGAGCCAAGAGTCAGCAATCCGCTTACTGGCCCACGATGAGAGGCATGAGCTTGGTAGGAGCTTACCGGATGAGCCCGCTCGGGGTTGCAATTTTTTCCCAGAGCGTAGGGAACCTCGCGTTAGTGTAGGCCCCAGTCTCTCTTTCGATCATCATGGCAAGAGCTTCAAGTTGATGTCTGAATATCACAGTATCAGAATTTTTGTCCAAAATGTTCCACAGATCACAATTGTCATACTTTTTCAGGTCTGTGCGTAGACGAGGACTTGGCGTGAGCCTATTCCTCAGTTGATCCAAGTCTGCCTCAGCAGCGTAGGTGGAGTCGAATATTCTCAAGACTTGACTGCGCTCTGCTTCTCCAAGTGAATCCCGAGCACCCGTAGCCCCACAGCATGGTACCGTGTTGACAGATTCTATCGAGGGCATGTCCTCACCAGGCAAAAGGAAGTACTGCGGATTGAAGTATCTGATGGTCGCATCAAACTCTGATGGGCATGGGTGTTGTAGAAAGAGCTTGCCACTCATGAGTGCAGCCCCAACTTCATCTTTCTCCTCGAGAATCCCGTAGACTGTGACCCGAACGTGGCAGACTCGTGGGCCCGCGCCTCTAGAAGCAATGGGTTTTGACTTCTTCCCACATATAGTGGCACTCAACGTGACCGAGTAGTTCCGAATGACTGCGGACAGCGTTTCGTCGATGAAAATGGCCGCCCGGGTACTCATGCCGTCTATGTGTACCCTGACCAACGCACCTTCATAGCTCAGGGTGGCTGGCGTGCATTCGGGAGGCAAGTCGACAGCACTTGTAGATGTTGCTTCTATCAAAAGCTGAAATATGTTAACGAGACCGGGCGAGAAGAGATCGAATGCCTACCAAACCGAAGCACGCGGGCCCTGATTGTTGCACGTATGGGTTTATTGCGCGTTTGCTCTGGGCTTCATCCTCTGTTTCCGCCAACTGAAGGTTGGCATACTGTTCCGTGAGACCTTGCGAGGACGGTGTTTGAGAAGATTCGGCATCCGTGTCATCATCAGTGAAGTCGACTGGCATCGGTGAGGTTCTCTGCGCCGCAGTGCTTTTCGCACTTAAGAAATCGGGGTTCACATCCGCCTTTTCTGCCTGCTGCGCGAGTTGAGGCTCGTAATCATCGTCTCCAGTGAGGTCAATAATTGGGATGGATGACTGAGTGAACACACGGGTGCCATAGTCGGCAGAAAAGTTTGGGCCGCTTGCGGAGAGCTTGGGCTTCTTGTTCAGCATTCGTGCCTCTTCGTAGAGGCCGTCGTTGGGCCTCTTCCCTGGCGAACTCATTGCGACAGTCGCATCTGCACACAAATTCGAGGCTATTTTTGATATTTGATCGCAGTTTAATAACTTGGTGTTATGAGTTCAAAGTACGAGAAAGCTGCGTTGAGGACTGCGAGCCGCGGGCCGACGGGGCAACAAAGGGCCAGTGGCGATGAGACATGGTTATTGAAGACAACTGCGGAAGCTGAAATGCACCATGCATGCAAATGATGTGACGAGATTCCTTCGTGCCATGCAAGAGTCGGTCAGCTGGGCCTTTGCTGTTGGTTGTGTTGGTTGTTGCTCATGTGCCTTGACCCATGCGTGCAGCGTACCACCCTCCCGGCCAGGACCGATCAATCATTGCACAGAATATGGAGCACTATCGTAGGATGAACAGTTGGGATCAGGTCTTCAAGAATTGACGTCCGGCGACATGTAGGCCTACCCGGTATAAGTCGCGAGATAGCATCGGTGATGCGAATGTAGGACTCGAAGTTATACCTTGGGTAGTTCAGTGATTTGTGACCTGTATCTGTATGGAAGCAGGCATGGGTCTCCCGACTCACCACTGTCCCGCAGATTCCCCCACTTTGTCTGGCGCTTGGAACTTGGAAGGCGCTCCCCGGCTGCATTGGCGCTGTGGTCCACTTCCATCTGCCTACTCCTACGGCAAGTCCGATGGATACCAGGTGTAGATAAGGCCGGCGGCAAGACAGCGAGCCTTTCGACATTGTCCGAAGAGCATAGCACACACTCCTACAGGCCGACTGACGATACCAAGATGCCTACCGCATCTGATTTTATCAACGCTGATTTCGAAATAGCAAGGCGACGGTTCAAAGAAAGTGTCGGTGACCCGGATATCTACGAGAAAGTACTTCAGACGAATGGATCCGACGAAGTCACAAAATTGATTAAGAAAGCACAAGAAGATGCAGCCTCCAGTCTAGGAATGCGGGGCATGGGACGCCTCGAGCCGTTCATCCTTCGCCTCAAAGACTTCGCCTGTGTTTTCGAGACTTACGTCCAAATCAAACCCGACCTACTCGCTCTTATCTGGGGTCCAATTCGTCTCCTGCTTTTATGGTCATCTGAATATTATGAGGCCGTGGACTCCGTGGTAGATGCAACTGAGATGATTGCGCAGGCGCTGTCACGCTTTGCGTCAATGGCCAGCCTGTTCAACGAGAATCAGGCAGTCCGATCCGTCCATGTTCTATTCCTCCAGGATATCCTCGACTTTTATGCTGCGGTCTTGAAGTTCTTCGGCAAATGGTGCTCGCCCGCTCGCGGCTTACTCTCCCGGGTCCGGGACAAAGTAATCGAAAAGGCGGAAAAAGCCTTTGAAATAGCGTGGGCGGCCAAAAAGAAGGAACTTCGTGTCGTCATCGGGAATCTCGAAAAGCACACACGCCTTTTGAAAAACGAGGTGACTTTTTTAGAAATTGAAGAGGCAAAGAAGGCCAGGGATGAAGCGCTGGTGAAGAGTATAAAAGATGACGAGAAACAAGAGACGCAGAAGTTCCATGGCCTGAGGTCTCGCATCGCTCCAGTACTGTACGATAAGGAGCTGGATCGGCTGAGCAACACATGTCACTCCGGTGGAGTGAATTGGTTGTTTCGCAACCCTGAATTCAATCATTGGCTCGATGTCTCTAAACGCGACTCGACTTGGCTATGGTTGCATGGAATTCTTGGGGCTGGCAAGACATATCTTGCCGCGGCGGCTATCAATCACATCAAGAAAAGTAATCAGGTGCTATTCGTCTTTGCCAGCCAGGAGAATCCGGACGAAACGGCACTTTCATCTATTCAAACATTGATGTTCCAGGCTGCGACGAATAATGCGGCTTTGAGAACTGTCTTGGTGGAAGCAAGTGAGCGAGAGTTACAGGGCAACACGAAATACGCGGCAAACTTGCTAAAGTCCCTACTCATGTCGGCTGGGCCGGCATATATCATCATCGACGGGCTTGACGAGATCGAGGAGATTGAGCGCCAGATACTCTTACAACAGCTGCAAATGATCTGCAAGGACTGCAAGGAGCTCAAGGTCCTCATTTCTAGCAGAGATGTGCACGATATCGAGCGGGTTCTCAAACCCAATGCAAAGGGCATTCGTGTAGATCAGAGAAACGGTGGGGCCATTCAGACATACGTCAACGACAGGCTAAAGAGTTGGATGGCTGAACACTGCGACGACATCGACTCCCAATCAGAGATAGTTCGCCTCCTGGCAGATCTGTCAGCGAAAGCTGGGGGTAAGCAGACTCTTGTCGAATGGGCCAGGCACCGTCATACGAACATGCCAGCGCTGACAATTTGCGTGGAAAAGGAATGTTTCTTTATGCACGTATCATGATGGATCTCCTAGATCACCTACATGGTAGCGATGAAATTCGCCAGGAGTTCAGGCATCTTCCGCGTGAATTGAAAGACGCGTAAGTCCAGTCACACCAACCTCTTAGTATTTTCACTAAAAATTGCAACTCAGATATGAACGAATCTTCCAGCGCATCGATCCAGACAAGCAAAACAAATGTCGGAAGATTTTTATCTGGATTGCATGCTCCCCGACTCGCCTCACAGCTCTCGAGTTGGAACAGGTTCTACTCCTGGAGACTAATGCTGGCAAAGCCCTTCCACGTGCAATTTCACTCAATTTCGTCAGGCTTTGCGGTCCCATCATTGAGGTCGTAGATGGCTGGCCACAATTTATCCACGTCACGGCCAAAAGGTGAGCTTTCTCTTCTCGGAAAAATCCACCTGTGGCATGCGGTGATTCTAATATCAACTATCAGTCACTTCCTTAGCAAAAAGCTCAACAATTCTGTCGACGCAGCACGAGCCAAGCTTGAAATGGCTCTGAGCGGCCTCTCCTACCTAAGTTCGCAGGATCTAAACGTTGAACTCTCCGATTTGGACATGAAAAAAAATCTGTTGCTTGGGAAATATCGCCTTCTAGAATATTTTGCGAGCAATTGGCACGCCTTAGCCCTTCCTATTGTACGGGACATTGATGATGACAACATATATCCCAGGTTCAACAGGATGCTGACAGATTTGGCCGGTCAAGCGAAGAATGACGAGTATGAGGATGAGGCAGACTCTTCGAGACCGCCATGCATCAACAGGGCCCTGGCAATGAACTCACCAGACGGTCATACTATGCTTGGGGCATCTCTGCGGTTTCGTCACAACGAGACAGTGCCAGACTGGAGTCGAACGGAAAGTAGGTCTACATTATGCCCCGGGATACAACCACCAGGTACTATTCGGAAACTCGGCTAATACTGTCTCTACAGGCCATATGTGGGTTGACTTGGATCCATTGACTACGTCAAAAATGCTCGTCCGAGTTCAGAAAATCTTCAATGATTTAGTCTGTTCTCGAGCTTTCCACGACGCTGACTGCGGTGTCCAATGCGTTAAACTGCAGAGGAACTACGGTGGTCGCCTCTACAAATGCAACTTTGTCTTCTGTGAACGGAACCGTCTCGGGTTTGAGTCAGACATTGACCGATCCAACCATTATCTATGCCATGACAGGCCCTGGAAATGCAACGATGCACGCTGTGAGTTCCGAGCCATTGGCTTCACTTCCAAGAAGAACCGAGAGAAGCACTGGCTTGAGCGTCATATGAGGGAGGAAGCCCAGCCCGGAGAATTGGATGGGTTGGAGAAAGATGAAATTCAACCGCTTCTTTTTCGCCTTGTGGCAGACGAGGACATGGATGGCATAAAACGTCTTCTGGCGCTTCCTGTCTGCGAAAGCCTGGGGTCGACTATCCGCACGGCAGCGTCATTAATAGCAGTTGAGAAAGGATCCTTTACAATGGTCCGGCTACTCATTCCTGAGAACTGGAGGCACCTTGACACAGACTTGGTGATAGGGGCAGTGGAATCAGGCGACGTGGATATGGTCAAGTGGGCGCTCCAAAAGTTGAATCAGGACGACCTTTCCAAAGTGGCCGTGCTTATGCTGCACACCAGTTCCACCGAGGTTTATTCCCACTTCAAGGACTATCTTCGCACAATTTGTGTTCCGAGGAACGGAATGAACCCACTAGAGGCTCTATTCAAACCAGCCGTCATCAAGAAAACGAAGAATGATATCACAGAGGAAAGACTGGGGGAAATATGGAAGCACTTGTTTCAGAATGACAGAGTGAAACAGAATACTTTGTCAGCTGCTCTACTCAATGTCGCCAAATCGACCTTTTCGATCCCACTGGCACAAACTCTCATCGAGCTCGGAGCTGATGTTGACTATCCCAAAGGTCCGTCCAACAATACCGGTTCCGGTATGTCAGTTCTGCACTATGCCGCAAAAAGGCCGATCTCAAGTGAAACAGCAAAGTTCATGGAGCTTCTTCTGAAAAACGGCGCATGTCCCTTCGAGAGAGCCAGCAAGGGGAACTCCCGATCTGTCCTTCCCTTCTTGAAGCGGGGAGTGTACGGCAAAACACCTTTCAGGCCATCCACAAATACCGACAACCAGGATAGCAGGAAATATGTCAATCTCGCAAATTGCGAGGGGGCCAAGAATATTTGGAGGGAGTTAGGTGAGACATGGGAGGAACTCGCTGAGCGTCACGCTAAGATATGGATGGAGGCAGAGGAAACAAGGCTGGAACAGAACAGGGTGCGGCGTTAGAGATTGCTACAGCAGGTTAGAGAGAGACGCCGACGTAGGGGCAGTCAATGAGTGTATACATATATCAACCTGTTGAGCTTTGCAACTAGGCCTCTGATAAAAGGCTTTCAGATCTTTGTATATTCCAATGCGAATGTCCTCTTATACGCCCCTTCTATAATTACAGTTCGTTAAAAACCTGCAACGCGGACTTCAAGTCAGGCGTTTCGTAGATCTTGCCGTCGGAGCCAGACAAGGGCAACGGCTCATTGAGCTGCTGAAGATCGGTCCCTTCATTCTTGAGGGCTACCTGTACGTCAGACGTCTCCCGAAGCAAGATGGCCGTTCCCGCGACCGCGGTCGGAGGCACATCGTCTAGGGAGTGGCCCGCATACAGTATTTTGCTCCCACTACGATTCGTCAAGTGTTGGAGTAGCTTAACATTGTCGCCTCTGCTGTGAGAGTCATAAGTATAATGGTTGGGATGAGCTGGGATGAGCTGGGATGAGCTGGGATGAGCTGGGATGAGCTGGGATGAGCTGGGATGAGCTGGGATGAGCTGACTACTGATACTCCAATCTGGCCCTGTCCAGTGTCGGTCAAATCGTATCTGGCTGAGCAAACGGGTGCCGTACTGCCAATCTAGGCTAGAAGTATCGAAGGCTCTGCCACTTTTGCCGAGGAAAGCTTTTGCCCGCTAACGCGTGTATACCCATTGGAATTCTCCTAGGGTTGGCAGGTTTAGGACAGACTGGCCTATTTTCACATGAATTCTGTCCTGAACCAAACTCACCCCTTGCAAACTCTATTGAGCTTGGGACAGAGGAGTCGAACATGGAGGAAGAAATAGAAACCGATCCCTAACAGCAAATGAGTGTGACCATCCCATGCAGATGCAATTTCCATTCCGTGCGATCCGGTCCACTGCATGGGAACGTTGTGTCCACCGCAAATGCGACGCACGGCTACTGTCCACGACCAACGGCTCCAAGACAACGGACGACTAAGGTAGCAATGAACATGCACGCCATTGATGGCTACTGGCCGGTAACCTGTTGCCTACAGACCTCGAACAAAGAAACCAGTCGATCACGGCGACTTTCAAACACAAAAGAGGAGCGTTACCATCCACTGTGACCCCTCATCATCTCCTCACCATTTGCGATTCTCATTGCTCCCTAGGTACTGATGCTTGACATCCTTCTCAATCCTCGCGTGGGTATTGCAAGGAATGCTTTCGTCTATTGTTGTGCGTGCAAATGTAACGACTACGTAGGGGAACTCTCTCGGTAAGTACTTATTACAATGGGCGGTGTGTGCAGTCTACTAGCTCCACTTTGGTATGTGAGGAAAAAGGGAAATGCTGGGGAAAGACGGGGGGTGGGTGAGAGTATATGCGGGACATATTGCTGGATGGCAACTATGACCATGGGATACCCCAGTTTACACGCGCCCGCCCGGCCTATTTGACGGGCTATCTACGACGTGGAGTACACGGTCCCGGGGCAGAATCGGGTGGAAATATCCCGAGACCCCGATGCTGAACTCCCTTTTTGGAAGGTTGATCTTTGTATATAAGTCGTGGGTGAGCATATCTGATAACATGGATCTACTGGACATAGGACGCGAATACATTCCATTGTATTCACTTGACAATTCGCCCGAGTGCACTGAACCTCACGATCATGTCCATTCCCCTTCCCCCCCAGCCCGCTGCCTCCAGTGGCAGCCCCGTCAACCGTCTCCTGATCGGCGTGCTGGCCGTGTTGGTAGCAGCACCGTCGGTCAGCGCCAACACCAGCCGCTTCCGAGGCGTCAACTGGGCTGTCCTAGGAGACAATTTTGTGGACGGTCCCCTCATCCTCAACGGGCTGGACGAGTCTGACGACTATGACACTGTCCGAGCCAAGGCCGATGCCGTCTACGCCGGCTTTGAGGACAACCTCGCTATCAACACCATCCGGCTACCAGTCAACACACACACCGTCAGCTCGACCTGGTGGGATGCCTATGCAGGCGTGATCGACTCCGCCACGGACCGCGGTCTCAATGCAATCCTGGGCTACTGGGAAGACGGGGCGGCATCGGGAGGTCGCGTCAACAATGTGGCCGCCTGGGACGCCATGTGGGACACCGTGACTGATCAGTACGGCAACAATAGCCTGGTCCACTTTGAGCCCATGAACGAACCACACGGCTACAGTGCCGCCGAGTGGACGGACATGGCGGCCACTTGGATTGCTGGGCACCCGTCGGTTCCGAGAGAACGCATCCTGGTGGGCGGCACCGGCTACTCCCAGGATGCCAAGCCCGTGTGCGCCGACCGCCGTCTCGACGGGACCTTGATATCCTACCACATCTACACCTTCTTTTACGGTCAGGAAAACTACGACGGCTGGGTTCAGACCTTCCGAGACGGGCTGGGCGATTGTGCGTCCCGCGCAGTCACGACCGAGTTCGGCGCCCCGATGGACAGCGGCCTCGACTACAGCAACGCCGACAGCGCGGACAACTTTGTCCAGTATTTGCGCGCTGTCACTGACGTCATGCGCCAACTCAACATGGGCTCGACCTACTGGCCAGGCACCGGCGGCAAGATCACCCAGGGCCAGAGCGACGATTGGTACTCGATCCAGAAGCTCCACGGCAGCGGTACCAACCTGATCCTGACCACCCCCAACCCGTCCGGCGTCAATCGGCTCTGGCACGGCTGGGGCCCGGAAAGGGTTCAGTAGGCGCCGGCGCTGGGTCACGCGCGCGTTCGAGTCTAGTGCTGTAGTACATGATTCTGCATAACAGGCGGGCAGTGCACGACATGAGCGGCGAATATAGCAATATTATCAGTCGATAATATCAGTCAAGACAACAGCACAGTTATATTTCCAGTCGCTAAAGCAAACACGCGTGAAACTGACGCAGCTGTGTAGCTGGCTTATGGTGCTTTCATTCACTAGGGCACCTAGACACTGCATGGTAGGCCATGGCCGTCTTGTCTGCATGGCAGCGTGGGTGTATCGTAGATGTTGCCCTGAGAGGATACTTCCACGAGATATTGGAGGCTGTCTCGTACGCTATTGGCAGTTGAGAATGCGGGGTTGGTTGCCGCAGAGGCTAACAAGGCGATGAGGGTGAGTGACTTGAACACTGCGGTGTGTACATAAACTCAAACGGTGGATGAAGATGATGTGACGAATACCTCTAGAACAAGTATATCGGCCATGATGCCCCGACCTACTCGAACACAATGATCAATTTGCACGATATTTGGGCCGTTCAGCCTCCGGGGTCTTGTTGATTCCTTGCCCAGAGTCTGCGCCCCTGACGAGATGTATTGCGTGCGCATTTGCTCCCAGTGTTCAATGACGAAACGGTCAGTTGCTCATTTGGCTGGATGTCAGACACAACGCCCTCGCGCTCGTGTCTCAAGTTTCAAAATCCCATGCTCACTACAGATAGATCCAAAATACCTTACGACGACAATGAGCACGAACAGCCCATACATATGCCGTTGAGCGTACAGAGGCGACTCGATGGAGGCCAGACACCAATCCCTTTGTGTAAAAAGTCAGAACATGTGACTCAGCCGTATTCTGCCTGCCGTGACAAGCTGCTCATCATACTGGAAACGCCTATCCATAATAGCACTCGTTAGTGTAGTGTCCTTCATGCTTGCAGAAAAGACACTATGCTTCCGCCTGCGTATGGACAAACCAACACCTCTTCCCGCGTGGGCAACAGGGTAAGCTATATTTCTTTGTGTGTTCTGTGGCGTCAAATTTCATGCTAGATTGTCGCGACATGGATTTCGTTCCTGTATGTACAGATCGCTATCTACTATAATAGACTATATACCGGCGGCTCAAGTCAATACTATCTTGGTATAGTTACTTATAACTAGACCGACTTCTATTTAACCCTACCCGGTAGCTAGTCTAGACCCGAATGTTATAGTTATGCGAAGCTAGTTATCCCAGTATTCTTCTGCCTGCATGATCGTAGCTCTTGCCTCATCTAGGTATTGCGCCTGCTGCTATATACCTCGGTTCCCCACGGAGACCACGTGCTTAGCCTACCTCCTAGCGGGTAGGCCGTTGGGAAGCTGATCCGCCTAGGAACCACCGGCTTAGTGAATCGGAAACCCTTCTGTGATAGTAGAGACTCACGTTGGGAAAGTAGTGGTTTACGGTCATGATCTCTGTGCCGTTGAAGCTTCCGGGTGCCACAAAGTCGATGCGGTTCAGCCAGCTATACTTTGGAGAGTCGGTTTCCACACGCCTGTCGTAATTGTCAGTCGTGGTGAGCAAGCACTCGAAGACCAAGGCGTCCGGGATGCATACACGACGCCGTTCTGGTACTGCCGGACAATGGCACCGCCGGTGTGCTTCACGTAGGCCCAGTAGCCATCGTCAAGCTTCACTACGTAGGTGATGACTTTGGGGTTACGTCAGTCGTCGACACGGGAGCGATAGGCGGGGTGGGGGAGGGGGCAAGTAGGTGAGCTACTGACTGAGTTCGAGGAAACGCGTCCCTGGGGTGGTTCCGGGCGTGACAATGCCGTCGTCGTTGGCGCGGAGAATCTCACCAAAGAGGCGACCCTTGGTGTCGTACCAGTAGCCCCTGCACGTGGAACGATGAATACAGTCCAAGGGCATGGGTCAGGGGCTGGAAAAAACTCACTCGCGACTCCACCAGCTCGCGCGAAGACCTGCGGGTGTCTGGATCGTGTGGTTCTGCCGAGATGGTGTCAGTCGATCCTCAGCCCGCCAACGACGCAGCGACTATCGAGCCTACGTTATCGAGGTCCCAGTCAATCTTGGCCTGGAAGGCGGGCAGCAGCTCAGGGACGGACGCGGGAGGGGTCCATTGGAGGAGCGCGTGGGACGGCTCGTTCAGGGACGTGCAGACACTGACGGGCGAAGCGGTGGCAAGAAGGGCGCGGCCCAGCTGGCAGGCCAGAATGAGAGTGAACGAGAAGAGCATGTTGAGAGGGCGAGGGCGAGGGCGAGGGCGAGGGCGAGGGCGAGGGAGAGGGAGGGAGCTTCGGCCGACTGGATCCGCCTGCGTTGCAATGTGCGAACAAAGTGGTCTCAGGTATCGTTGCAGCAGCGCCGTGCGTCTTCTATAAATCCGCCGTGGGAGGCGCGGCCGCGCAATGTCAATGCGACGACCAGTAAGTAGCCCAAGCCAGATTCCCTCCACCACGAGGTCCAAGACCACTACGCCTGATTCTAGGATCCATGGGCGGGGTTGGGCCCATTTGGCGATGTTGATGCGGCGGCCGACGTGACCATGCGTCCGCGATCGGCGCGGCGAACAATTCAATGCGGGTAGATGCAGGTTTGCAACCACCGGCAAATGACCACCGATCTAGGCATGGTGTGCGGTCCGGACCGCTCGGACCAGGCCAGGCGGGTAGGGTAGGGGCCGGAGGCAAGCCGGGGGGGCATTTAGCCGGGGCATTCAGCCGCTCAGGTACGGCGGCTTGTAAACGCATGCACGCACGTGCAAACACAATACGTACACAGTGCATATGCAGCCCCAGACAGCTCCACAGTCCCCACCACGGCGCTGTCGTCGCTAGGTAGGATAGGGTAGGGAGGGGACCGCGCAGACGTTTGTTCTTTCGACCGACGCCGTGCAGGTGCCCAAGGCGAGTCGCTTGGGACGTATTCATGATTATCGAGCCGCCCGATGCGTTGCCCAGCCTCCCCCCCGAGTCCCCGAGTCCCCGAGTCCCCAACGCTGCAGGGCAGGTGGGGCGTGGGACTTGGTATAAAGGAGCAGTCAGCCACTGCCACTAGTCCAGGGCGTCAACAACTACTGCAAGCCACGCGTTGCTTGACCGCGATCGCTGAACCAAGACGCCGACCCGCTCACTACATCCGCTCCAAGTCAAGTACGGCCGCTGTGTCTCCGTCCGACCATGTCCGAAGGAGGTTGCCTATGCGGCGCGGTTCGCTACCAGACGGCTGGCGAGCCGCAGGCCAAGGTGAGTCTACTCATGGGGGGAGCGTCACCTTGCTTCCTCGCGGGTTGACACCCCAGCAGGCCCTCTGCCACTGCCTAGACTGCCACAAGATCAGCGGCTCGACCTACTCGACCAACATGATCGTCCCCGCCGACGGCTTCTCCCTAACCAAGGGCAAGCCCAAGTTGTTCCCCAAGACCGCGGACAGCGGCCAGACAATCACGTCCTTCTTCTGTGGTGACTGCGGGACCACCCTTTGGCGCGAGACCGTCACCTACGGCAACACCAAGATTGTCAAGTGTGGAACCCTTGACGGGACGAGGGCCCTGGAACACGTCAAGCCCGCAGTGGAGCTCTTTGTGAAGAACCGCCCCTCGTGGGTGCCGGCCCTCGTCGACGCCACCCAGAATGAGGCGTCCTAGGGGACCGCGAATGGAGGGTACCAAGGAGGTTGGTTCTCCGTGGGCTTCGCCTCTTCTCTGTACGGAGCTGGACGAGGCGTGCTCATGGTGATCCTCGGGATCCTTTGCGGGACATATGAAGCGGGCCGGCCTAGGCCAACCTAGTCCTCTTCACCTACTAGATTGAATTACCCAACCCCGTCAATAGTAGCTGGGAAAATTACCATCCTTGACCACTTGGCGCTCCGGAAGCACCGGTGCGCTTCCGTCCCGATGACGTTGCGGGAAATAGGCCGGGGCCGTTCCGCTTGCCAAGTCGGGACGGTAACTGCTGTATGTGCCCTTCTAGTCTTGGTGCAGGCGGCAGTGCCGATAAAGCCTGTTTGCAAAGCCCTCCGGCATGTAACGCCATGTAAGCCACCTTGGGTTCCAGTGCGCTACCGAGTACCGAGTGCGCCACGCATGTCACCCTGCATGGGGGGAGATGGGGAGGGGCAGATGGTCCCAAAGAGGTAGTGAGGATGGGCGCCGACGGTGTCTATCCATGGGATCGTCAGGGCCCGTCGAAAACGTGCGCGGATTGCTCGTCTCCGGCGCAGGGCCATGCGGCAGAGTCGCGACGGCCAGCTAACCACAATGTCCACTTGTGGAACGTGTTCTTGATCAGGTAGCAGGGACGGGACGCACGCAGACCTTGCATCAGGCGTGTGTGCTGATCTTCCGTGGCGAGCATACCCCTCTGTTGCCTAGTGTCTGGCAATGCCGTGCTCCCACAGCGCATTCAATGACATGGACACGTCCGATGGGGCCCCTCAGGAGACCAGAGTGAAGTAGTAGTAGTAGAGGAAAGCGGAGGCCAAGATCACCTCAGCGTTGAGTGCAGGGTGTTTCTCCGGACGTGTCGAAAGAGGCAAGCTCGACGAGACGATTTAGGGATGCAGCCAGAAGGCGAGAAACAAGCAGAGCCCACACATATCCCTGGCTTTGCCTTGAAATGCCTCGAAATGACACGTTTTCTGCGTCCGTGACTGTAGTCGATGCGTCGTGTATGCAGAACTTGAGCTCGGACTCGAAGCGCGTAGGCTTCCGCGAGTCCTCGATCTAGAACTCGGGGCAGATTTCAACCCCTACGGAGGCATTGACTCAAGAGGAAGCTGAAAGAGAAACCCCCCTCCCTCCCTGAGCTGCTTGTGGGAACGAGACGAATGGGAACGACGTGATTGAGCAAATTTTCTTCTTGCCGCTCGCAAAGGTTGTCACTGTGGCGTCTTGACCCTGATGGCAATCCAGCTGAGGACACGGACGCACGTTCCGTCACCAAGCCTGGCCGTGTAGAGTATTTAAAGAGCTCTCCCAGCCCGGGAGATGAGTGTGCGCCTCCCTAGACCAACAACACGGAGCTTTCTGGCGCACACGATACGAACGCCTGATCCACGATGGCAACGATGTTTGACTCCAACTCCACTCAAGCCCCCGGGGCCACGACCACAGGCGAGCAAGGCTCCGCAGCTCGGGAGCGTGCTCTTGCCTACGCCGTAGCAGCATTTGTCCTCTTTGCGACTTGCCTCAGTGCGTTCAAGTCGGGAAGACTGGTCCTCCAACGCATCTTGTGGTCGTTGGACGCCGTCTTGGGTGGTGCCCCTCGTACCGTCTCCCTCCCCGGGCCTCCAGGCCTGCCCATTGTCGGGAATCTGCTCGAGGTGAGGGAACCAAGTCGGACCTGAGCTCGTCCCGGACCTCGACTAACGGCCCCCTGACAGCTGCGCAACGGTCATGTTCCCAAGATCGCCGAGTGGACGAAGAAGTATGGCGATGTCATCCGCGTCTCCCTTGGCGAGCGCGAGGCCGTACGTTGACCCTGGCCATGCGGACGGGAGGGGACAGCTAGACTAACACATCTTGGCAGGTCTTCATTAACAGTCACACGGCGCTTGCCGAGACAGTCGTCAAGCAGGGCCCCTCGTACCAGTCCCGTCCCATCTTCAAGCTCTTCCATAGCGACTTTGCATCTTCGGGCATCTGGACGGTGGGCACCTCGCCCTTTAGCGAGCGCCTCGTCCGCACCCGCAAGGCCCTTGCGACCCAGATCGCGCCCCGTCTGCTCCCCGTCTACACGCCCGTTATCCACCCCAAGCTCAAGAAGCTCTTTGGGGACATTCTCACCATCAGCGAGGGCCCGGCCATCGACATGGCCGAGAAGCTGCATCGCTTCGGCACGGGGCAGGTCTCCGAGCAGCTCATGGGCACCCCGCTCGACGACGACATGGTCGGTATGCTCGCCGAGAACGAGACCAACATCTGTACGTCCCAAGCCCTCTCCCCGTTCCTCTTCCTGAAGTGTCCGCTCACGAGTCGGCACACAGTCCGTCAGCGCACCATCGGATCCCCCGCCCGTGACTACATCCCCATCCTCCGCGCGGGCGGTCGCCTGCGCTACATGGCAGGCAAGCTGCTCGGCATCGAGGACTGGGCCAAGGACGAACAGGAGGAGCTGGCCCGCGCCTACCGCAAAAAGCAGCAAGTCTACATTAACAAGATGCTCGATGGTCTCCGCGAGCGCATCGAGACCGGCGACCAGACGCCGTCCATCCTAGGTAATATCCTTCGTCAGAGCCTGCTCAAAGACGAGGAGGTGCTCTTGGCATCTTACACCGGCAGTACGTGTCCCCGCCCTGTGTGTGAGCATTCCATGGCTGACTGTCATTCCGTTCTGCAGTCGCCGCGGGTGTTAATCTTGGATACTCACTCACCTGGATCGTTGGGTACCTCGCCAGCAGGCCTGACCTGCAGCAGAGTGGCTACGAGGCCATCCAGGAGGTGTACGGAGGGGACGCACCCAAGCCGCACGAATACGACCGTGTGGAGTTTGTCAAGGCCCTGCACACGGTGAGTTCAAGTCGCCTCGCCCGGTTCCTGCCCCCCCCCCTCCCTTCCAAACGCGTGAAGGAGAAGAGTGTCTGACGGTACCGCGTGCGCAGGAGGGCTCGCGCATCTATACTCCCGTCCGTCTCGGTTTCCCTCGCCAGACCCTCGAGGGCGCGAGCTACAAGGGGAACAAGATCCCCAAGGACATGGTACGTACAGCAGCGCATCTAGATGAGCAGGTCTGGTCTCTGGGACTCTAGGCTGATATTTGGACGTGACAGCTTGTCATCATGAACCTCATGGCAGGCAACCGCGACCCCGTTGCATTCGACAGGCCCGACGACTTCCTCCCGGAGCGCTGGATGGACGGCCGCAAGGGGCGTACCGACATGGCCGGCCCCGGCGGCGAGAAGTTGGGTGTCACGCATCTGACCTACGGCTGCGGCCGCCGCGTCTGCCCTGGCATTGACAGTATGTCTCGTCTCCCGGCTCCCATCTCCCCTGCCCTGCCTTGCCCTGCTGTGGATTTACATGGTGTGACGGAGCGCGCTAACGTGCACCCTGCGTGTAGTGGCAAACCGAGGCCTATACTCAACCCTCGTGCTACTCCTCCACTTCTTCACCTGGGAGAGACAGCCGCTGGGCGACGAGGAGAAGAAGCAGGTTTTCCCTGCCTTCCGGGCCGGGCGCGAGTGCTCCCTTGAGATGGACGCCATCGCCGACACCGCGACACCTACCGAGGCGCAGGCCATTCCGTGGTCGGCGGGCATCAAGTTCCACTGCCGCGACCCCGCCGGTTTGAGGGCCTGGATCGCCTCTGAAGAGACATAGGCTCATGCCGTGGAAGGTCGGAAGCAGTAAGCCTGGTCAACGAGGGGTGGCTTGAGTAAATTGAGTACAGGACGCTGCAGGCGTGGATCCACATGACTACATGAAGGAGGCTTGCCCACGCGTACTGACCCTAGACTAGTGGCTAGATAGATCCCTGCTGCCGCATGGGCCTGGGCCTCAGCCTAGGCCCTGCAAAAAATAGAATGTACGTCCTGCCGACTTGCGGCCGATATTCAAATCTCTGCCGTAGCATGTGGCGCCTGCACGATGCAGCACAGACGAACTTTCAGCTGTGCGCGGTGAGGGTATGACGGACCCGGCATGGCAAGGCAGGGCGTTGCCGAGCGTCACGGACTCACGGATCGACCTCCTAACCGCCCGCGGCTCGCGGGAACAGTTCCCCCTGTGCAGACTGTGGCGGGCCTTGTCTGGAGCGGCCCGCTGCTTGACAAAGCCGCCCGGCACGCATCGGCGACGGTGGGAATCGTGATACGTAGAAAGGGTGGCCGTCTGCCACCGGTTGCCTCCCCGTTCCATGTCTTGTCCCGTTTCGCTCCAGTTGTCGAGATACGTGCCACGCACGCTCATCATGTGGGACGCGAAGCAGGTTTCCGGCCAAGGCACCCCCGTGCCAGGCTCGCACTCTTCTCAGCTGGCGGGTGACGGCGGCGAGGAAAAGTCCCAAGCTCAGGGCCAGCGTCAGATTCCAACTCCACTCGAGACAGAGGCCCAGGGACAGGCTGAGCAATCGCCTCCCACCGTCGCGCCGCCTCCCAATGGCGGATACGGCTGGGTCTGCGTCCTCTGCGTCGCCGTCATCAACGCCCACACCTGGGGCATCAACTCGTCCTACGGCGTCTTCCTGGCGCACTACCTGTCCACCGATGCCTTTCCCGGCGCGACCTACCTCCAGTACGCCTTTGTCGGCGGACTGTCGATATCCTGTGGCATGCTCATCTCGCCCCTGGCCGTCCTCTCGACGCGGCACTTTGGCACCCACGCCACGCTCTACCTCGGCACCGCCCTCGAGGCCGCTGGTCTCATCGGCGCGTCCTTCGCGCGCACGACATGGCATCTCTTCTTCAGCCAGGGTGTCTTGTTTGGCGTAGGCATGGGCTTCCTCTTCGTCGCCTCAGTCGGCATCCCGCCCCAGTGGTTCACCACCCGCCGCTCTCTCGCCAACGGCATAAGCGCGGCGGGGTCTGGGTTCGGTGGGCTGCTCTACTCCTTCGCCACGGGGTGGATGCTCCGTACCATCGGTCTAGCCTGGTCGTTCCGTGTCCTGGGCATCCTTGCCTTTGGCGTGAACGTCGTTTGTGTGACGTTGCTGCGGGACCGGCACAAGATCATCGGGTCCCGTCACGCGGCCTTTGACATCGGCTTGTTTCGGAGGGTAGAGTACCTCCTACTCAGCGGGTACGGCTTCTTCTCCATGCTGGGCTACATTGCCCTCGTCTTCTCTCTCGCCGACTACGCAAGAAAGCTAGGGCTCGGGCCGTCCCAGGCGGCCCTCGTCTCGGCTATTCTGAACCTCGGGCAGGGTCTCGGGCGGCCGCTGATCGGGTACTTCTCCGACAGCGTCGGGCGCATCAACATGGCCGCCTTGACAACGATGTCCTGCGCGATACTGACGTTCTTGGTATGGGTTTTCGCCGAGAGCTACGCGGTGCTGGTCTTCTTCGCCCTCGCTGGCGGTACCGTCACGGGGACCTTCTGGGCCACCATCGGGCCCGTGGCCGTGGAGGTCGTAGGGCTGCGGCATCTTCCATCGGCCTTGAACCTTGAGTGGCTGGTCATCGTCCTGCCGTGCACGTTCAGCGAGCCCATTGCGCTGGAGATTGTGGGGCGCACGGGGAGCTATCTCGGTGCGCAGCTGTTCATCGGTTCCATGTACGTTGCGGCGGCGGTCTGCGTCGTTCTCTTGAGGGGCTGGAAGATTGGAGAACGGCACGAGCTGGCCAGGCTCAGGGGAGGCCAGGTCGGTGACATATATGCAGATGAGACTGGCTCGGGATCTGTGGGTGATGCGGCCCGTGTTGCAGGGCGACAGACCTTGTGGGAGCACTTTTGGAAATGGGAAAAGGTATGACTGCCTGATCCTCCAAGGAGAAGCTCAAATAGCCTAGTGTGGAAGCGAGAAGATGGGGAAGAGTGGTAAAATCAGGCAGTTTGATATCACTTTATTTCCAGCCCGTAATGCCCCCAATACGAACCTCCCCTCAAGGACGAACTCGGAGTGACATTTCCAGCCAGTCTGCCTCTCTCGCTAAAACCTATTGAATTGCTAACATGTAAACGACCTCTCTCTGGTAGCTAAGGTTGGGGTAGGCCTGATGTTCTGCGTTGGGATCTTGTGAGTTTCCGTGTGTCCTCGGATAGCTCGTCGCTGGCACGATTGCGCAGCGTCACGGTCGTGAGTGCCCTTCGGCTGCAAGGTCTCGTTCCCTTGGCGAAGACCTCGAAGATAACATGGTATTACTATCCCATGTTACGTCCCGAGATGTGACCGCATGGATCGACATACAGTCTACACGTCACTAGGCAATGACCTGCTTTTTTCTCCTATTAAATATCAAACAACCCTCCCTTGCCCAGCGGCCTTCTTTACATCAACTACTTAGGCACAAGGCAACGTAGGGTTATAGTTGACTTTATATATAAGTCGACTATAACTGACTATCGACTAAGGTTAGCCGGTACATTTATAAGTAGTACATTTAGAGCATAGCTTGAATGTAGTTCGCCTAACATTAGACATATATTGTATACAAAGGTTAATATAGGCCTTAGGGTGGCTAAGGCTATTAGCCCTATAGCTAGAGGTAGTATAAGAAGCCCCTGTCGGGTTATATATATAAGAGTCTACCCAGGGAAGAAATTTCATAATTAATGAATATTTCTGGGATTAGGAGAACAGTATAGTTCTTAAGGACTCCGTGCTCGTAACGATCTAGTAGCGCTCTCTTGATATTATGTACTTTTTTACGCTCCTTATCGATTCCTATTTCTAACGGTATTGTGTGGGAGTTTGGGGTGGCCCTCGGAATTTTTCGCGTTTCAGTATGCGCATATGGCTATCAGTCGTTTACAGTTATCGTGCCACAGTTCTTTATAAGGAGCCTTACGCTCCATTACCTTGGTCAATCAACCTTTCCCCTCTTTACTTGAATTCTATAACGTTTGTACTTTGACCTACAACCGCCACCTGGCTGCGGGCCTGGCGCCCCTGCAGCCCCGTCAAATCTTGCTCAGGACCTCTGCCAAATCCTTCGATCTATCTCGAGAGCGTAGATGCGCTGCGTTGTTGTTGTTGTTTGTGATGCCGTGGCGGCAGCCTTTGTGATAACCGTTACACAAGGCAGCCACACCCGTCGGCGTCACCTATCTTCCTATCGGGTAGGCAGATCCTAGCGGCTCTGATCCGTTTCCCGCTGCGTTGTCGTTCCCCCCAACCCATTATATCGCTACCGCTACTGTTGATCAAAGGTAGTACCAAAAGGGTAGAAAATACTAGCCCGAGTTATGTCCTCTTATATATAACCCTAATCGCTACCTTGAACTAATTTATTATATTCAAGCTAAACAAGGCTAAGTTATCTAAAATATTAGATTAGATTACAGTCCATTCGTAATGTGACATGCCCATGCTTTGCAGCAGGAGAATTGTCTCGCTAGTCGGGTCATTGAGACAGACGCCCCCAAGCCCGAGTTCGGACGGCTCCCGGTTGCCTAAGGTTACCGGCCAAGCAATTCGAAAACCAAGTCACCGCAGCTGCGTCGTCACAGTCCAACAAAAACAAGATGCGTTCCCAATGTCGACGGAAGAGCTTTGTTCATGAACCCTAGCGCAGCGTTGACCTGCACACCCGTTCATACAGGCACCTGAACATCATCCTCGCACTTCATTGGGTGCACCGCGGAATTGCGACAGCACTTGCTAGAAGCTGTGGTTTTCTTCACTCGATGTACGAGACATGTCTCGCCTTGAAACCAACATACTTCACGATGTCGAGTCCTTTGGACTTTGGACGCCACAACAGGCGATTTCGCGCTTTGAGAGGCGAGCTCTGTGATTCGACTGATACTAAGAACCCCACGGGCCGCCACTACCTCCTTGTCGAATATATATTGCCTTGGGTGACCTGGTCAAACAAAGGGGAATATGGTATAAGCAATCCAAGTGGAGAGGCTGCTGTCGCGACCGTGGACGCACCGCCTGTCTGACCTTGGGTCCTTGGCTGCAATCTCACTTGAGGTCATCACGGGCTTCGCGACTAGACAGGTGGCTAGGCATACAAAATGGTGTCCAAAATATGATCTCAAGAACTGGACAGGATTCCGTATCCTTCATTTGGTATGGTCGTTTGCGTTTGCTCCACGTAAACACAAATGTTGGTATTACACAATGCTCAGTACACAGTGTTGGCAGATGAGAGCTCGCAACCTTCGCCATCATATTGTTGAATCACTTTTCTTCTTTGTGCGAACGATAAGAACACTGAGAAACGGAAATAGAGTACAGACACGAGCATACATATATAGAAATATATATATCTATACGGGAAGGGTTCGAAATAATCCAAATAGCTCGCGAGCCTCGCTGACGGCTATCTGATAATGATCCCTAGAGTCGTAAGACTTGCTTTGTCCCTGAGCTTGTCATTCATCCGTATCTTCCCGTACCAGGAAGCTCGCAGGCATGGGCACAGCACGTTCCTCCATTTGGAACGGCAAAGCAGCATCAGCGCTGATCTGTTTGCCAGTTTCGGCGTCGACTGGAGTTTTTCAGGTCAGCACAAGATCAAGGGACAGGTCTGATCACAGTAGGATATCGAAACGACTGGTTGGGCTCGGTACTCACGACATCTGAACTTCACATCTGCAATTCCGACAACGGCCTCGATCAAGAAGCGCACTTTCACAATGGGGTTCCTGTTGCCCCGACTCCAGATCGTGTTCTTTTTCACGATGCTTCCGCGACCTACTTGGGAAAGATCTGCGTCGAGCGTGGTGTGCAAGCGGACAACCTCTGCATCAGCAAATGTCAGTGTCTCTGGGAGGATTCTTGATGCAGTAAGGCTCCTACCAAGCTCGTTGAAGTCCGGAACTGGATTACGCAGCGAAGTCATGATTGGGACTTGAGCTCTGCGATGAGATGGATCCAGCTCAAGTCCAAACTCCACGCTGAAAGGGTACCGAATGCTTTTGCTATCGTTGATGGTGTCACCCTAAGTGAGATTCAGTTTCGTGCTGTGCAAAGGCGATTCATGTCCGATACTTACCCATCTCACAAACCAATCCATGTAACCTTCAACCCAACGCTGACCGGATTGATCTTTGTTGATTCGACCCTGATCTTCCGCCAGTCGCTGCAGGTGTTTTTTGCTCCCAGTCGCCATAGTCTTGCACCGCACACGACAAGGAACCCCCAGGGAGGTTCTAGATAGCCGGCTGCGGAACATGGTCGAGCTCCCGTGGGTCTGCATGGCATGCTCGAGAAGTCCTCGACATACCGACATTTGGGGCTCGGTGGATTGATGCAGCTTAGCTCCTCGAAGTGAACCAACCTTAGATTTTGAAATGTGACCGAATATTTCTTTCTGGACGTATTTGGAGCTCCCTAGCCCACCCGAGAGTATGACATGGTTCTGTGTTCAATCAGCAATGGTCATCAAAACAATGCGGCAGACGTACGACTTGGCTGTAGCGCGGCGAGGCTCGAAGCCCCTGATGCTCCATCATGCTGTCCAACATCCGGGTCATTTGAACAACTTGCGTGTCAAAGATCTGTCTTAACTCCGACCTAACTAGCATGTCAAAAAGCGTAACCAGTAGTGATTGGGCAAGCCTAAGCCACCTACCAAGCAAATTGCATGTCTCCGTCCTTGACTCTCAGTGACGCCTCAGAGATGGAGTGTGGCATGTTCGGTATTTTGATCCGGAATGTGTCCTCATCACCCCAACGGCCTGACCCGAGCTCCTTCTTGTTGCTCTGGAAGTCAATGCCTCTCATCATTTGCCAGGCCACGTCTTCAATCGAGCTACTGAGTATATGCGCTAGTGGCTGTAATCGTGCTTTGGCGAGCTCCATGAATCCGCTGTCGATGAATGTCGACCCGCATTGGATTCCTAGAGTTGAGTCAGTCGGACATCCACAGGTACGAGTTCATACTTTCCTTGGACTGGCTTCATTTCACTCATTGAAATCTTTCCCTTCAAGGCGTCGTCAATGTTTAGAAAACAGAGGTCCTGCTTGTAGATTAGAAGATGGAGAGGGAAAGATGTGAAACCAGGGAATGAGAGAACTCACTACTGTGCCTCCTCCTGCATCTATGATAAGCACGGTCTGGCCGCTCTGGAGAAAGACAAAAACAGCGGACGTTAGCAAATGTAAACAATGGCGTCAAGCCAAAGCTTTTTTTGTGAAATTTTCCCGTAAAATGAGACACTCACTTCAATGAAGCCCTCGCAGGAGAGGGTGTAGGCTGCCACGGCATGCGGCTCGGTAAGAGTTGCTTTCACATCAAACCCGGGCTGACTGCCGAAACCTGCTCTCCTGGCAAGGACGCAGAATTCATCCACAATGGCGGTGTCCCAGGTTGCAGGGACACTGAAATAAAAGCGAATGGATGTCCTGTCCCAATGCTTTCCGTTCAGCACAGCTGGCGGGAACTCGCTTCGGAGCTGCTCGTACAGACATTCCAAGTAATCAGTATACAGTCGCCGTACCTCAACCTGCCTGTCTGAATCTCTCGGGCCTACTCCAAAATCTGTCTTGAACCATTCTTGAACCTCGCCATAGTGGTCGTTCTCGCATTTGAAGCCCCAGCTCGAAGGCTTTCCTTTGTTGTCAACGTACTTAAGACGGGTGGGCGCCTTGTCCTCAACCCTGTAACCGCCCCAATCTTTGAAAATTTGGACAATGTTGTTGCCTCTAGTTCTGTTGAGGTAAGAAACGCCGGTACCTACGATGGGAATTGCGTCAGAATCTTGCGCATAGGAGTGTGCGGATAGTTGCTGCCTGCTTACAGCTCATACCAAGATCGATGCCGAAAAGCAGATCTGGGCCATCGTTCATCTTTGCCATGGGATACGTTTGTGCTGCGCCGTAATATTGTAAGTTTGTGTCGTTTGTGATGATGTCGCGCACACCAGTGATGCTAAATAGATTGGGACACTGGACGGGCGAGCCGCTGCAGCAGTAACGAGAAATTAGCGCCTTGCAGGCGTGGACATTTCAGAGGCATGTTGGCTCAGGGGTTTAATTACAAATACTACTTTCGCCTGCAAGCGGGTGGAGCAAGCATATCTCATGCACGTTGGTTGTAACATTGATCAAGGGGGAGACTAGGCTGATGCAACACGAGTCGGCTGAGTTTGAATTCTTCGAAAAGACACCCGCCCGGCCGCCCACTGCCGGGCCGGACAAGACTCTTTCTTTTTATGCTATTCTTGCAATTTGGCCACTGAGTTCAAAACTCATTGCTCATTTGAAACAAGTACCATCCACTGAGGGTAACCGCGATGATAGCCTTGATCCCTCGTAACCCAGTGGCCGAACCACAAATTGACGATTTGACGACAAACACAATTGACCCAAATCTTGTAAGAGGTGACACTGAAGCTTCAACGAGCCACGACTTCGGAGCCCAAGGTCTGTAGATGACAAGATCAGGTACTAAATTACAAAACAGGTACCAACGATAACATCAACTACCGCCTCTCCAGACATCGCCGCCCCTGCGCCAGCGCAACCCACCGTATTGGCAACCTCACAGACACTTGGGACCTCATTGACATTATCATCATCGTCAGTTTATTCAGCAAGCACCGGGACACCTTTGGGTTATTCGTCAACGATCTCACCAACTTCAACTCCCACTTCGCGATCGACAGATGAAACTTCAAGTCCCTCTGCCACAGAAGCTGGAGGCACAATCTCTCCAGCCGAGGCTAGTGGTATTGCGGTGGGCGCTGCAGTTGGCGGTGCGATCCTAGCGGTTTTAGTTTTGCTTGCTTTCCCTCGGCTCAAAAGACATCGACGCGATCGAACACAGGCTTCTCCCTTATTTGCAGCAAGAGAGAAAAAGCATATACCCCGAGTCGACAGCGTACTTGATCACCTGCCGCAAGGGGTTGCAGATGAGACCTTCCGCCAAAAACTCGGGAAGCTCAGCACAGACATCAAGAATTTTGTGGACAGCTTCTTCAACGAGACGCATCTCCAACTGGACGCTTCGACTGAGGCAAGCCTCCGAGCCCTCGCTGGCCCGCCAGTCACTGCGTCATCATGGTCAGCCGCTTTCTTCAACGACACAGCACGACGTTGTGCCATTCGTTTATTCATAGCTCAACTTCTCTTCAAGAGTATCCACCCTCAAAATGATACCGATGTCAATTTACTACCTCACCAGCTGTTGGCTGCTTATCAAGTCTTCCAAAAAGGGCCACAAAATAGCAAGACAGAACGTGGATTTGGATCAGGTACGCCGATTCTTTATATTGCATCTCAAAAGAGACTGTCTGAGTACGCTGCTGACCTTGACCCGAGACATGCCCAGCCGCAAGACGCTGTTGATGCTATGGCGCCAAATTTCTAGCCATCTCTTCCCCGCAGAGCTGAGAATAAGGCAAAATCATGCAGTAGTTGGCAAGATCGCGTCTGCGCTAGCTCCGCTCCACCCAAACACGCATGGTAGCTTCCATCGTATTCTCGAGGGCCTAGTTCAAGACGCCGGTCAGCTGGGGCTCGAGCTTTTCGCGGATGCACATGAGTGGGAACCCATATGGACTCAATCACACAACAACGTCAACGGGGCCATGGTGGTGTTTCCCGGCGTGCAACTTTCTCGCCGGAGCACCGGTGGAGAGCAACACCACGGCGATATGGAAATCAAGGTCACCCTGACTTCATGTATTGTTGAGTACTGAGCAGAGAGATGGATACTACCGCATGGAGATGGACTTTCGGTACTCCAACTTGAGTAGTGTGCACGTCGATAGATTTCACCGAGTAGAGCTAGCTCTCTCCATTCAACCCGTATTGACTGACCCCTTTGAAATTATTGGAGAACCTCAAATCGCATCAGCTATGAACCCTTTTCTGTAATGTTCGATGAGTCAAGCTCTGGCAGATTAGCTGTCCCGAAGTCTTCAGGAGTTTTAAGACTGCATTGGGCTTGATATCAAGATTCAGCCTAAGCTCTAAATCGGTGATCGCATGGTAGGTGTGCACTCACCTCTTTGAGCATATGCTACCCCATTACTTCGGTTGGGCCTGCCAATGTCGGAACAGAGAGAAAAATCCCCGTTGCTAAAGGCCTCAGATGAGCCCATAGTAGAAACGAAAGACGTCTGACGAGAAACAGAAGGCCATGACGGCGCAGGTCGTTGGCTTGAGGCGCGTCCTAGGTCGCCACTTGACATCGGCGACCAGGAGGGGCGGGCCACATGTGTTCCAGCTTGGAAAACCATCATATGCATAGCGCCGATAGCGGCCAGGAGCGTTGCGTGGGAGTAACTCAATGATCTTTCCTGATCCGCGAGTTTGTCGTGATTCTTCAAAAGGTACTCTAGCCTAGCATTCAGCTTGGACTCGTTGCCGGCGCCTCGGAGGATGAGCTGGCCAAGTTCATCGAGGGCTCTCAAGGTGGAATCGATGGCATTGGAAGACCATTTCCGATAGAATTCGGGACAATGTTCGAAGAGTCTGGCACCATCAGCTCGACAACGCAGAGCATGCTCGACGTCCTCCGCTACCTGCTCCACCAGTCGTACGAATATTCTCGAGCAGTCTGGGACGCTTTTGAGATCAACAGCGAACTGGACCAAGCGAAATGTAGCGAATATGCTGTTGTAGGTGCTTCCGGAAATGAGGGACTCGAGAGGCATTGTTTGTATAGGCCATGGGTAAAAAGCACACGATGAGATCAGTTGCTGGTGGATGGATCACTGTGCTCTTCGACACCAGTGGAGAAGTCCGCACTTTGAAAACCGCAGCCGCTCTCTCGTCACCATATCGGAGAATGAACTACGGTTGAGATTGCAGTCATTTTGTGGAGGCTTCTGCCTGAAGAAGACTAGACTCAAGGCTTCCCTGTAATCTCGCGCCGGAAACAAACACCGGTCGCAATGCGAATACGTCTGCGTCTTCTGGGGCCTATCGCCGACGGGACCTCCCCTCCCACGGGCTAGTCAGTATCTTCTTCGGCTAGCTAGGGCTGCCACTTATCGCCATTTTGAATTGCAGCAACTGGAGAAAATGGATCTTGCGGCGAGAGACTTTGTCTACGGCAGCTCGTTTGGCAGGTGAGCTTTGTGCTCGCTGAGAATGTGAAAGAGGAGTCTTTGAAGCGGGGAAACGTTGTCACAGGGTGGAGTGTGAAGTTTGTCCAATTGGGAAGAGCTGGTGACAATCGGTGCAGGCAATACGGTAGGCGCGTTGTGATGGAACTATTTCGGCCAATGGAGCAGTGGCCACGGACGGAGCTGGCCGACCCGCATGTTTCATATTATGCTGTTGGTCGTTGCTGTATGTAAAGTCCCACTCACACTTGTGCCCAACTGGCCTCTACAGGGGGGGGGGGGGGGGCCGCCTCGCAGCCAGAGATAACGCAGCTCGAGTTGAAAAGTAGTACGGAGGACTACCGGCTGAGTCGGATTACAACCGGCTTCAGCCGCTTAGATGTCCGTGCTAGGCACCGTGGGGTAAATGTCCCAAGGTCGTGGGAATGAACCTCCCAGCAAGTCATGTAAAGTCAATACGGCGCTTTAGTGGTCGACTCGTTGCCCCTCTCTCGTAGCACAACACCGCAGATCAAGGTAATAGAAAGCACGGAGAGGCATCTTTTACGCAGTCTGGGGTTTTGAAGCACGTTGCAGGCGTTTTCCATTTTTTCCTCTTCGTGCCGCCGTAGTGCTGACGAAAGCAACAAGGTATGAGGGCTGGTGCCAATGGGCAAATTTCGACCAAAGGCGCGAATATGCAAACATGGCAGGAACTGGCGCCAACTAGAGAATACATGTAACAACTGAGACGGAATTTGACCTAACAGATGGCAACGAAAAGTCGCTGGTGGCACTTGGACTGCAGGGTAGTCAGAAGGAAACAGATGCGTCTTGTTGAGAGCATCTGCACAATCTCTTAAATACTCAAACTGACACCGAACGATTTTGAGCAATGGTGATCAGATTCAGGAGCGTTGCAGCAGCACGTTTCCGCTCACTGGTGTTATAGACCTCGGGTTTCTAAAGTCTTACTGAAATAGCTAGCAAAATCTGCTATTTGAGCAATCTCCGGGCACGGCTGACCTCACAGTTTCGTATAATGCGCGTGTACTGAGTTAGTGCCGACCTGTTCTCATTTCCTCGCCGTTGTTGAATCTTTCTATGACTCTCAGTCTCAGGGGATAAGGTTGGCAAATGTGTCTCAGTTTAAGGAGGGGGGATTCGCCTTTGTATACAACTATTTAGTGGCGATTATTATCCCTGGTGATTTATATCACTTGCTGATCTCGCGACCAACCTCTGTTTCTACTATAATGCGCTTCAGCTGTTTGGCCATCCAGGAGTGCTCATCTGAGAACGGGGTGGATTGGAAGGCGTTTGGCGATCACCAGAATAGCGACTCGCTCCTTGTGCTTGGCTCTGGTCTGTTGAGCGATGACTGTCGTAGTCTACGCCCGTTGCTGCATTGACGGGGTTAGACCGCAGAGGCGAGTAGGTCGTTCCATTAGGATCATCTAATTCGAGTATGACGTCTCTAGGGGAGATTATATCGTCAGTTCTGACTGTGATGGGAGTTACCCGTATCTTCAGTTGAGATAGCAAAGTAAATCTTAGATTCGCTACCTAGGTCTGTCTACTAACTTACGTATAGTTCTAAATATTCTTATCCGAGGGACGTAATATATGACTTTTAATTCGAATATAACATATGGAGTATAGCGCGGTATTTTACCGCTTAAAACTAAACAAGTACTGAAAAAAGAAAATAGGCGCGAGTAACGGGCGTGAATATAGGGGGCTATACTAGCTTAATAAACTTTATTCTTAGAGGTCGTGGGTCCCAAATTCGGA